TCCGAAATCATTTTTCACATAAGAGAGTAATACCACCATCTGTATTTGGAAGGAAAATGCCTATTTATCATTGAATGAATAGTTAAAAGGATTCACCTTTTAATACAATACCTATATTACATTTGTCCTCAGTTAAAAAGACATTTATAAAATATATAACTTTAGTGTTAATAAAATGTAATATCCTAGTCTCTACTTCACATTTAAATTATTGATAGGTATTTTAAAGATTTGAGATTATTTGCTCCAAGTAAGTATTCGTTAAATATGTATTATTATTTGTATTTATTTTTATCTAATAATATTTATTTAAGTTATTAATAAACATATTTTAAGAATGTTCTATTTTATTATTTATTGATATATCTTATATTTATTTAATAAAAATATGCAGAACCAACTCTCCACATTAGACCCCTTATAACAAATTAATTCTTCAAATTTGGTATAATCGACCTAAATTATTTTGTAAAATAAAAGTTTCGAACTTACTAGTTCCATACTTTATTTTATAAAATAATTTATGTGGAAATCATTTAAAATTTAATTTAAAACTACTACCTACTCCTAAAAATTACAATTTGAATTTACCGCCATCTGTCAATTGTCATTTTAGTTCCAGCTCCAAACACAAGGTGGCGCTAATTTGGTTTAAAAGTTTAACATTGGCGTGGGGTCTCTAGAAGATACATGCTTTGTGGTCACTATACTTTATAAATAGGTTTATAGGTTTAACACATTCATTTTGAAACATTTAAACCCCTTAGTAGTACCTATTTTGTTAAAAAAATCATTGGTTGTAACCGTAATTCGAAAAAGGCAAAAAGTTTCAAAATGAATTAAAGAATTTTGGGGAGATCAAAACCTCCCTAAAATTTTAATAAGTTACACTGTTTTTGTAATTTTGATTCAAAGTTGATCAAGACAAATTGCTTAATATTTTCAATGTGGAACTTCAAAAGATTATAATTTTTTATATGCACTTTAGTATACGGGGTGATAAATTAAAAATTTACAATGGCTACATCTCAGTAAAATGCTTAAAATCGTTTCTAGGATACGAATGCGAACTTAAATGTCAAAATACAATCCCCTATGCGTCACCTACATCAGTAACAAAAAAATAGCAATTTTCTACTAGTCATACATCATTGGAATACTATAAGCTACATCACATACACGGTGGTTCAACAGTACATAATAATTAAAAATTTGAGTATCTGAATAAAATATTTTTATTTGTAAGGCTTAATTTTTCTTATATAATTCTTAATTAGTGCGATGTCCATTGTAAGTTAGGTTTAGCTCTAATCGACCTATTTTTATCTTCTAAATATCTGATATAATTTATGACCTACCTTTTTGTTCCACCCTGTAGAGGCTACATCTAATTATTATAATTGTCATAACTCATAACAAGTGTATTCAATATTTAATAGTCTACTCAGTAGTTAATAAAAAAAATCAATAAAAAAAGGCAAAAAAAATTCGGGATAATTAAATATTTAATTTAAATTCAGATGTTTGAAAATTATACATGAGTGTCCTCAAGATCACTCCTTGTCTCCTTGTATTTTTCGTTTACTTTCAATTTAATTTTATGTGATATATATGATCTGTCAATTTATAATAATTAGCAAATCTAAAATTATTACCTATCCTTGACTTTATTTAATAGAGATTAATAGTCTACATTTTATTTTAATGTAGCAGAATGGTTATTTTTATAGATTGGTCTCTAAATTAATGGTCGTAATTTCTTAGAAAAAACTGTTATTCAAATTATATAACCATAACATCACAGTGCCTGATTCAGACAAAATCGACTATGATGTAATTATTGCTGATTAGATAACTCTCAAAAATGTTTTAAATAATTTTTTTCTCTAAGTAAGTGTCAACAAGCAAAAAATAGTGTTTGTTTAAAATTTAAATGTTATTTTTCTATTTAGCAATATAATCGTAGATTAAAATTTTTATTTAACAATGTAAGTATATCATTTCCGTTTACTTTTTGATATACCTAGGGTAAAATAATACAGGGTATTTCTACGTACAGGGTGTCTAAAATAGTATTATTAACTCCAACTCATCAAAATAGGTAAAAAAATTAAGACTATTTTAAGGCTATTATTATACCCTCTTCAAAATTTTTATTCTTCTAGTTTTTTACAAAAAACAAGGTACTTCAAATGAAGCTAGCTGAACATCTCGGTTTTTTAAAGTTTTTTTCAAAAAATCAGCATTTTAGGCTCTTAAAATATTACAAAACTTTTCTAAAAAAATTGCTAAAACGAAGCCAGCAGAGCTCTTTGTTGCAGCAAACATCAGGTATTATTTAAACACAGCAATGTTTTTTAGAAAAGTTTTATAATATTTCAAGAACCTAAAAATAGCCTAAAAATGTGTGTGGTTGTTTTTAGAAAAAAGCTTAAAAAAACCGAGGTCTCGTTCGAAACTAGCAAAACACCCTGTGTTTTTGTATATTTTTAAAATAGCAATTTTTTTTTCTAAAATTTTTATACTTTAAAAGCCTAAAAATGTTCTAAAAATAGCCCTAGATGAGGTGTGGTTATTTTTAGAAAAAAACAAACTTTAGCGAATTGTTCTGCTGGCTTTTTTAAAATGGCAACTTTTTCCAAAAAGTTTTATAATATTTCAAAAGCCTAAAAATAGCCACAAAATATAGTGTGGAAAACTTTAAAATTCGAGGGGCTCTTCTGATTTTTTTTTTAAGCAAAGGGTCTGTATTAGATGATTAGATTTTTTTCAAAAAATAGATATTTCAAAAGGCTAAAAATATGGTGTGGTAGTTTTCAGAAAATAAAAATAAAAAAACGAGGTGCATGCTGCCTTAGTTTGAAGCTAGCAGAGCACCTTGATTTTTCTAAAAAAACGAGGAGAATATAAATTTTGAATAAGGTATAAAAATAATCTTAAAATAGACTAAAAATATGAAATAGGTATTAACTCAAAATTTCCTAGATACCTACTTTGCTGCCTTCTTTGGCATTAATTTTTTAAATGCAGACATCAAAAGTTTTAAAACAAATTACTGAAAATTTGGTCAGTTGTATAACTTTTTATGTCTAATTAAATGAATTAGATTTTAATTATTAAAATAAGGGTAGTTACTAAAGAGTGAAGTATTTTGTTTTTTCTTTTTTTTTTTTTCGGTTCAATATTATTAAGTCTATAATATAATTAATTTATTATTTTTATTTTTGACAATTTTAGATTAAAATTGTTGTTTCTTGTATAATGTATAATGATTTCGAAAAATTATAATTTTTTGTATATTTTTATTAGTAACTGTATCTGTAAGGTGGGGAGATTGAGTTTCCTCCACAGCACTTAGGCCTCACTAGGCCAATTGTGCATCCTCCTGAAATGATACGACTCTTTTAGCTAGTCAGTTAGCCACAGATATAACGTAGTTGGTAACGTCACCAAGACGTCCCTCTCTTATGTTTTGTTTTCATTAGTATTTTTTGTTTACTTTGTTAATTTTTTTTAATTTTTATCAATTAGTTTACTGTGACAAAAAGGATGGATATTATTGCTATGGCATTGAAGTAAAATTTTAATTATTAATATTTTTTATCAATGGATTTTAAAACGTTTTGGAAATAAATATGAGTAGTTAATAAACCATGTTCTTATTTATATAAAAAATTTAACCTGTTAAGTATAAGTTAAGAATACTATTTTAGAAACACCTTATACACGAATGCCGAAGAAGGCAGGAGAGCACTTAGGGAATTTTAAGTTGTAACCTTTGCCATATTTTTTGGGTATTTTAAGGCTATTTTTATATTCTATTTAAAAATTTTATGCTCATCGTTTTTTTGCAAAAATCAAGGTGCTCTGCTAGCTTCGAACTAAGTCAGCACATCGGATTAAATTTTATTTAATTTTTTTTTTAAGACACCGTAATTTCAGGCAATTTTTAGGCTCTGGGAATATAAAAATTAAAAAATGGTATTTTTTAAAAATAGAGACTTCGAAAGAAACCAGCAGAGCTCCTCGGTTTTTAAGGCTTTTTATAAAAACAACCACACCACATTTTTAGGCTATTTTTAGGGAAACAAAACTTTTCGCAAAAAAAATATATTTTTAAAAAATAGCATTTTAGACTCTTGAAACATGTATATAAAAAATTCCAAAAAATTTACTTTTTTTTAAATTCAGATTGATTTACAGGATTCATTAGAAGATTTTTTTATAACCACACAGAATTTTTAGGCTATTTTAATTAATAAACCAAGGTGCTCTGCTGACTTTGTTCCAATAAAACACCCTGTATTATTTAAAAATAGCACTTTTTTAGTAAAGTTTTATAATATTTCGAGAGCCTAAAAATAGCCTAATGTGGTGTGGAATAGGATATAAAAATAGTCTTAAAATAGCCTAAAAATATGGCATAGGTTTCAACTCGAAATTTCCTGGATGCTCTACTGCTTTCTATGGCATTATACAGGAAACATCGAAAACTCTAGTGTCAGTTGCATGTAGATATTTAGAGTATTTTAAAAGTCTATATCCATTTTTTTATAAATAAACAAACAAAAGCTAAAAAATATGAATTATTAATAATGTAATTTAATTTTAAAATAATTTGGATTACATGACCTTGTTTTTTCCTCTTTGGACTTTAAATATGTAATTTGAAATCTCCAAATTAGTAATTATGTGTTTTTAGGTACTCTGTATTATAATTTTATTGAATTTAATATATTTAGGTAATCCAAACAACAAAAATACGAAATATGTAATAATAGCATAATTAACGATATTTAGATTAGGTAGATAAATATGTACATTTTCTGTAAGAGCATAATCTAATGCAAACATTTAAAAAATCCTTTTTATAAGTTTTTTTTATTGGGAAAATTCTAGATTAAATTTTAATTGAAAGGAAAACGTCAAATTCTTCAACCCCTTTTTTTGGCAACAACATAACAAAAAAGACCTGCCTTAATGGTTCCATCGGGGCCAACCTCCCTCATCTGCACCACATGTCTAGGAGACCCGGTCTTCCTTAACGTCACATGCTCCAAATGAGTCTCTCCAACATTCTTTCTTCTCTCCTCTCTCAAACTCCTCTCCAACTCTTCCATATCCATAGCAGTAAATTTCGATCTAGATAAACCACCGACCTCTGGGTCTCGGTGAAGCTCATCATCGGAGGATCCACTCCACACTTTCTCAAAAAAACTAACCCTTTCCCTGAGTCTTTTACTCGCGGGGCTGTGGGGACTATCGGGCCGATCGTCGGGGGGCCGCGGGGGCCCTTCCCCGGGGTCTTTCTTCGACGTACTCATGTTGTCATTGCGATTTTCCGCGACATTTTCCGTATGCCGGCGTTGTCATCTCGTCTACTGCGTACTTTTTCGTTTGAATTTGTGCTCGCGATCCGCGCTTTCGCTCGATACTGATTGTGGGCAAGTGGTTGGATAAGAAACATGTAGGCCATGTTAGGTATTGCGATCGGCGTTGCTAAGTCTCGCTGTTTGACGGTAAACCTTGGTATTTTGCAATACTAAATAAGAGTTTCGTTCTAAAATATGTTAAGTAAATAAAAAATAAATTCTAATGAATAAGTAAGTTATCAATTGTACAAATGTGGCTTAATTTGGTATATTTAGTAAAAGAGGGAAGAAAGCTCAAAGTAAAAAAAAATATGTAGGGCGTAGGACAACTAATTTCGGCTAATGGCCATCATCTGACCTCGATGAAAAACACTGCAAAACAATATAGGTGGAATGGACAACGCACGTCAAAATGCAATTACTTTTTATTATTTTATTGAAATAGATTAATTTAAATTATATCATGTAAATACACGATCCATTTATAAGTAATTGTGCTGAAATAAAAAATACTGTATGTGATAGATATGATATTATAACAGGTTCTGAAACTTGGCTCACTGGTAATATTATTAGTGACTTTCCAGGGGCCTGTCTTATTAAAACGACTAATATTATTAGTAAATGAAACCAGTTGCTAAATGCGTTATTTAATGTAACGAGTGAATATTTGCGGGTCGAGCAGAGCGAGGTATTGCAACATAAACAAGTTACATAAAACGGCATTTAGTAACATGTTACAAACAATATTTTTTTTAAGTTTTGCTTAGATTATATATAAAATTGTGTTTTGATAAAAAATTATTGACATCTAGGCAACCAATATTACTGCTTTCTTGTACTGTTAGTTGCATATGTCAATAAATAAAAGAATGAACTTTTATTGACAAATAGAAAATATTATTAATTTATTCCCAACGACTTGTTGTAGTGTGTTTATATGGTTTGTTGAAGTTATTTAGATTTCAAGAAAGTAGGTTATTTTGTCGTATATTGTGTATTAAGTATTTTGTGCTGATTAAGAATGAACAATAAGGACCAAAACATCATTATTACTCGGTTATAAGTTTAACCAAATTCTATTTTTATAAGTTAATCTGCCTTTTAATACCTAATAATGTACTTATATTATTGATTTTAAAACCAAAAAAGATTTATTTTTATTTATTTTCTTTTCGCAACTGGTGATATAATGAATTTTTCGAAACCAGTTTCATAATAATCAACATATTAGATCATTTTGACCTTTTCAGCGATTACAAAAAAATGTCACTTTATATATCAAAATTAGGAAAAATAACTAATATAACTAAAATAATTTTATTCCGATCTTTTTTCAGAATCAATAGGCTTATCCCCTTATAGAGTTAATATTCTTTCGTTTTTGACTTTTTTTTAATTTAAACTTCCCTTAGTTCCCATTTTTATTCAGATTTTTTTTAATCAATAGTCTTTGTCCCCTTATAGAGCTTGATTTCTTGATTTTTCCTGAAGATGTTTTCTCTTTTCGTTTTTGATTTGATTTTTTTTTAATTTAAACTTCCCTTAACCCCCCAAGCTCAGTTTTATTTTTTTTTTAAATGAATATGATTCGTATCTTTATAGAGCTTCATTTTTGCTAAAAAAATTCAAGTTGATATATTTTTCGTTTTAAAGTTAGGATTTTTTATATATTAATCCCTCCATATTTATTTAGATTTTTTCTGGATCAATAGGCTTCGTCCCCTTATAGAGCTTGATTTTTTCGAAAAATTTCATTTTTAGTTTTTATTTTTTTTTTTTATTTCAACCTCTCTTAACTCCCCCATTTTTAATCATATTTTTTCAAAATCAATAAGCTTCGTCCCCTCATAGACCATGATTTTTCTGAAATATCAAGTTGATTTTAATTTTCGTTTCTCATTTGATTTTTTTTATTACAACTCCCTATATCCCCCGCTCCCTTGATAATCAGCTTTTTTTTAAATCAATAGGCTTCGTCCTCTTGTCCCCTTATAGAGCTATTTTTTTGCTAAAAATTTCAAGTTGATATCATTTTTTGTTTTTAAGTTAGGATTTTTTTAATATTTCAACCCCCCTTAAGCCCCCATTTTTATTCAGATATTTTCAAAATCAATAGGCTTCATCACCTTATAGAGCTTGACTTTTTCGAAAAATTTCGTGTTGATATCACTTTTCGTTTTTCATTTATTTTTTTTTTTTTTTTAATTTGAAACCCCCTTAAGCCCCAATTTTATTCATAAGCTTCGTCTTCTTATAGAGCCTGATTTTTCTAAAAATTTCAAGTAGATATTGTTTTCGTTTTTGACTTATCGTGCGGACAAAACACATTGGAGGACGGACATTTTTAAAAGTTATTTAAAATTTGAAGAAAACAGGATTTTGGTATAAAATTTTAAAATTTGGATCAATATAAATTTTGGTTTCTCGAACGTAAACTGATAATACTCTTCATATATTTCTGTGTGAAGAGTATAATAATATTAGTTGGTTGTTTTCTGTTTCACAAATTCTTTTAATTTACACATATTTTATCAGAATCTCTAATTTATTAACATTTTTTTTTATATATAAAAGTGAGGTTTGGAAGTTGGGGCTTGAAGTGAGAAATATGTTCACTTATAGTTAAACATTATGTTGATACAATGCATATAAAAACCTTAAAATAGACCAATAGTGGTGAAACACAACTAGGGGAGGTTGTGAGTGTAAGCACTGCTTGTCTTTACTAGTAATTACTATAAGATTATTATGTTCAAAAAACAAAAATAATAGTACCTAATTTTTAATATTTCTAAAATTATAATAAAACAATATGTTACCTACGGTATCTAAGGTATCTACTTCTAAAATAACAATTTTTTATTTTATAAAACAGAAAATATATCCAAAATCAATTTTCCACCATGCTGAAAAATGCTTTAAATTTAGAAATATTATTTCAGGTAGTGTTATTTTACTTTCAAACGTGACCAATGTGACCGAGAAAGTGATCAAAATTTCAATTTTGCTTATCATATGGGACCGGTCACTTTTGAATGTGACTAATATATCCCCACCAGTTCACTCCCATATTATTCTAACCAAGAAATTTTTTTAACGTATTGAGTATTGAAGATCAATAATGATATAAGTTAGGCATGTTATATTGAATATCTGGATACTAGGATAAAGTATAAAGTTATCTTCATATCTTTGTAGTACCCAAAATATTTGATATCGGTGCAAAGCTCATAGAGAAACTTATTCAAAAATACCATCTTTATGCACAGACTACAAAACAAAAAAGTATGCCATTGCGTTCAACTGAAAGAATATATGTCATATCCATTCTACCTAGTAGGAAAACTGTTACTATTTTTTTTTTTTTTTTTAATTTGGTGTCATCGGCGTCGACTACTACGGCCATTAGCCTCGTGTTCTGTGTAGGCTTTGTTACTGTTTCCCAGCGCCACTTTAGGAACAGCACTGTTAATTAGAACCCAACAGTGAATGGTCGAGTGGGGAATCCTACCAAGGCATCAGAATTAATTTTAAATAATTAAATTAAATAAAAAAAATCCCACCATTTTTCTAAATTTTGTTAAACTAATTACCAGTATATATTTTAGTTATTTTGATTAAATATATATTAAAATGAGTTATTCTTATGTAGAATCGATAAATATTATTTTTATTTCATCTACATTTACAAATAAATCATAAATTTTAATAAAACCATATAAAATCAATTTAATAACGAATTTTCGTTAGTGGGTCGTAGAAAAAAATTACTGTACAACTCAAGTGGATTGTCCGTATCGCACTACGCCTACGGTATCGTGCTCCAACTTCGACTTCGTACGATATGGCCATTATATCCACTCTTGTTGCATAAACTACTATTTTATCCATAAACAAGTCTAAGTACATCGTACTTAAATCAGAATCCATGCTTTTCCAATATCATAAATATTATCACACAAAATTAAGTAATATTAGCATTTTATTGATATTTAAAATTATTTATTTACTTTAATTATGAAACAAATATAAAATTTTACTAATATTAAGAATCGTGTGCTAATAACTATAACTAATATTATTATAAATTAATTAATATTAAAATATGGCTAATATTAGACTAATAAGTTTTTTGAAATAGACCCAGATATAAATTATTTCGTAAAAGTAGAAGGTAGAAATGATGATCGTAACGGTGGCTTTATATATAAAATATAATTTTATTGCCAAACCAATTAGAAATTTACCAACTAATGAACCGGAACAGCTTTGGATTTGTTTTTTTATTAATAAAGTGTCTTATGTGTGGGAATCCTTTGCAAGTCACCTAATTATTCGTCTTCTCTTTTCTTAGCTGTTTTTGAGGATATTCTTAATAAAATTATGCCAACATATTACAATTTTTTTACTGGCGATTTAAATATAGATTACCTTGATTTAGGAAGCACTTCATTTTCAATATTACAAAATATAATTCATATTTTTAATTTAAAATAAGTCATATATCAACCAACTCTGGGTCGTGTACTTTACTAGCCTTAATATTTTCTTCTCATGGGATACATTTTGAATATACTTCCTATATAGATTGTCCAAATTCTACTAATTATCACCTTGAATAATGTTCCTTTAATATAAAAAAGATTAAAGCTGCATCTAAAATGTACACACAGGGATTTCATATCTCAAAACATTACTGAAAATTGAATTTTAATTTTTACTTTACCATGAGAATATTCTCCAAATTAATATGACGATGAAATGGCCTTGGCCTAAATATTCAAAATTAGGGACTATTACATTCTATACAGGGTGAGTCAAAACGTTGGAAGACCCTGTATTAAATAAAATTTTATCTATGTATTTTATATCGCGTGTTACTAATATATCTTAACCATATTAAAATATGTATAGTTTATAAACCATATACAATATAATTTAAAAGCTTT